TCTGTTGTCGACGCGAGAGAGAGAGAGAGAGAGAGAGCGAGAGGCAAAGGGGCGTGCATGAAAAGAAAGGAGGTGCCCCGCAGCGGGGAGGGGAAAACCACCCTGCGGATGCTTCCGAAATAAACCAACAACAACAACAACACAAAAAAAAAAACGAACAGCAACGCGAGCCACGAAGGCCGCGCCGCTGCATCGTTTCCTACACTACGCTCCCGTGACAGCCCCGCCCATCGCCGCTTCCTAGACTCTCTCACACACACAGACACACCTGCACATACGCATATATATATATATATATGGGTGGATCGGATTGTAGGCTTCTTCGCTGCCGGCACCCGTTTGCCAGTGGGAGCGTTGTGGTCCGGGCGGGACGTCATACTTCTCGGGCGGTGTCCCACCCCGCACGCACGCACGCGCTTCTGCGGCATTTCCTCTTCGTTTTATATATATATTTTTTTTGTTTACCCCTACAAGACATAGCGCGATGCCCCCCGCCCTCTGGCCCGCGCGCTCTGCGGCCCCCACTCCACCACCACCACCGCAAGTACCACTACTACTGCTACTACTAATATTTTCATCACGGCACCGACGTCGACGTCGACGGCGGGGAGTGAAGCAGCGGTGCACGTCTACTCGGCCGCCTCCTCCTGCTCCATATTCGCTACCTTCTCCTTCAGGCGGTTCCAAATGTCGCGCTGGTTGTGGCCGGCGTTCCACATCTGGAAGGTGGGCTCAAGGAGGTTGAGGCCGTACTTGTTGAAGACAATCGGCACCGCCAACACGATGGGGATGCGAATGTAGCCGCGTGCGTACGTCCAGTGGAGGACCGTCGACCAAAAATTTGCCGCCATGTTTTGTTGTGTGTGCGCGTGCACTTTGCGTAACACCTGCTGCCCCGTATATCGTGCCTTTTCCACCGCCCACGCCCCAGTGGGAGGAGGGGCAGAAGGCAAAAGAAGAGGCAAGCAAAAAACAAAACAAAAACGAGAGAAGCCCAGAAGGAAAAATAAAGGGGGAAAAAATACATAAATACATAAAAAACACAGCGATGAATGCGCATCAACGGCGTTGATGCCGACGGGACACACGCCAGCCCGAGCCACAGTTTGAAGAGCGGCCCCGCCGCCCCCACGCGCACGCACAAGGAGAGAGTGATTGGGAGAAATAATCTCACAGACGCAAATGTGTGTCTATGCACACACACACACAGAGGGAGAGAGAGAGAGAGAGACAAAAATAGAAATTTAAAAAAAGTGGACGCAGAGACGCCCGAGTTCAGTCTTGTTTGCCGCTCTTCTCCCACCTCCTTCCGAGGTGGTGGTACGCCACGAATGTCCTGCACAGACGCACCACAACTACTTCCCTCAACCACCCCTCCTCTTCTCCGCACTTCTAGCATCTCCATATTACAAATAAAGAGGGAAAAAACTGCTACTCAAAGAGAGAAAACAAAAATACATTTATATATGTCATGCCTCATCCACTCCCACGTATCCCCCGTGCACCCCGATCTACATTCCTCCCCCACCCCCCACCCCTACCCCTCGTCATTCGCCGCAATGGCCCACCCTACACATACGCCGCCCACATCTCAGGCTTTGTGTGGAAACCGTCCTTCCGCTTTAGCTCCGGGTACTTCGCCTTCATAATGTCCTGGTAACTTTGCGCCCACAACATGTCAAGCGTGATGGGAAAATCTACCTGCGTCGGCTCCTCAATGATTGGCGCCCAGGGCTCGATCCTTTTACTTCGCGACCCTTGAACGGTGCCAATGTCGTCCACAAGACCCCAGTCCGACACAGACTCCCGCAGCGCCCGCGTCCAGTACTGCTTCAGCGCAAACAGACCGCCATCAAGCTCCTCCGTGATGGGAATCTGGCAGCTGAAGCGTGTGTTGTAGGTGATGTCAGGGCGGTCCATCGAGCGCCAGTTGGTGAGTGACGTGTACTCCCAGCGATTCGGGGGCAGCAGTCTGTCGAGGGTCTCGATGTCGACGTTCACCATGCACCCGTCGCCATGGTGCCAGTCGGAGCAGTCCGGGTTGTTGCACTTTCCCCAGTAGTGGGCGAAGCCGTGGCACATGCCAGAGCCATCAATCAACGTGTTGAGGGTAACGTCCGGCATTGGGTACAGGCGAAAGTGGTACGGGTGGCCGTCAAAGCCAACAATGGTGATGTTAATCAGCTTGGTCTTGTACTTGCTTTCATGCACCTTCCCATCCACGGCGTACGTCTGACTTAAACGACGCGCCACCGACTTCTCTGGGAGTTTCCCCATGCGACGCTTCTCGCGGTAGTTCAGTTTGTCGCACATAATTTCCGCCCGCTTCAAAGGCTGCTGCAGACAATTACGGTGGGAGATTTGCCAGCGGCCGGCCTGCTGCGTCTCCGCCAGCTCCTCAATCTCATTGTACACGTGGGGAATAATGCGGTAGGAGCGCCTCGCGGCAAAAGCGACCGCCGCCGTGCCCGCCACGACGGAAGTGACCGGCCGGCGCAGCATCGCAGCCACGGCCCAACTTCGTCTCTAGAGGTGTCTTGCTGTCCGTCCCCGCCGCACCAGCTGCGGCTGCTACTAATACTACTGCACAACGCCGCGGCTTCAACGACGGGGAAAACAGGAACAATAACAAGAACAACAACAACAATAGAAGCCACACTCCAATGTACGCACGCACAGGAGCAATGAGTGAAGTACTTTTGTTGACTCGGAATGGGGAGGGGAAAGTCACATCTAAAAATATGGGTGGGCTGGGTTCAGACTTGCATAGAAAGACACAGGCATATTACAATTCCCCAACCATTCCCCTACTTCTCTTCCTCCTTCACCCCGCCTTTTTTTTTTCCTTCCCCCCCCCAAGTCTCGCCCAGTGCGTGGCCGTAGTTTTTTCCTTCTTTTC